ACCCATCCATCCCTCCATCCATCCATCTATCCATCCACCCACCCATCCATCCCTCCACCCACCCATCCATCCCTCCACCCTTCCATCTATCCATCCATCCATCCATCCACCCATCCATCCCTCCATCCTTCCATCTATCCATCCATCCATCTACCATCCACCCATATATCCATCTACCCATTCATCTATTTACTTATCTATCCATCTATCCACTGCCTATCACCTATCTATGCATCTGTTCACCCATTCATCTACTACCCATCCACCTACCCGTCTGTCTATTCATCTATCTATCCACTATTCACTCCCCTAACCATCCATCCATTCATCTAGCTACCTATCCATCCACCCACCCACCAACCCATCTATCCACCCATCTACCCACTCATCCATCCATCTATCCATCACCCTACTATCCATCCATCCATGCACCCACCACCCACCCATTCATCCACTTATTCACCCACCCATGCATCCATCCACCCATGCATCCATCCATCCACCCACCCATCATCCATCCATCCATTCACCCATCCATCCATCCACCCATGCATCCATCCACCCACCCACCCATCCATCCATCCATCCACCCCCTCACCTATCCACTCATCCATCATCCAACACATGCCAGGTACTAGTCCAGGGCTCAAAGCTGCTGTGGTTAGAAAACATGGCCTACAAGTACATCTACCTTGAAGTGTCCAGACTCAGAGGTACAGCACCCCACCTCCTTCCCCAGTGCCCCTCAATCAGAGCATCATTTTTAAAGAGGCGGTAGGTGCTTGGTTTTTGAATTCATGAAAGAGAATTACCAATGACCCAGCAATACCAATCCTGGGGATGGAAACAAGTTCACCAACAGTTTACCCAAATCAATTCACCCCCAAAAACGAAAGTAGGGACTCAAACAAATAAATGGACAAATACTTTTACAGCCATTTTACTCACAACAGACAAACAGACAATGGGCAGGTGAGAGGGCTGCTAATGGCAAGAAGGAGCAGGTGACAGGAACACCATCTTCAGGGGCAACAAACATGCCACCCCAGCAACATCCCAAAGGACCCCACGGCAGGGGGTCTTCTGGCCCCAATCAGATGGACATAAGCTGATGACACTCGTGTTTTTATAATGTTGTCTGCAACTGAGTAGAAAGCGCTCCCTGTAGACCCAGCACAGTCTGCCCGGTCTCCTGGGCCCCACAGAACCCGTGCACCACACCTGTCACTCCCATTCTCAACTGAGGAAGCCAAGGCCCTCTGGGGTCATCTGTCCAGTGTGCCAAGCAGGGGTGGCACAGCCCGCGCAAGGTACCCTGTGCGGTTCCAGCCACGTCCCCACCCACCAGCTCTCGGGAATGGGAAAGACACAGCAGGAGCTGAAAATGGTGCCGCAGAACAAGGCAGCAGCGTCAGGCCCAGGGCCACACTCTCGGGGCCTGGAGTCCACCCCTCCACCTGGCAGTACCATGATGACCGGCGCAGACAGTCTGGGACAGGCCCCGAGTCACTGAGAAACCTTCCTCCAGTTGCCATCTGGGAGGGTGACATTTTCTATACAATTTCTGCCAAGATCCCGCCCCTCCCGGGCAGAGGCATGAACTGCCAAGACCCTTTCTGGGCTGAGAGCCCAACGACAGCTCTTCCCCTCCCAGGAAGATAGTTATGCGCCGCCCTGCAGCCTGGTGGCTCTGTGTGGCGTTGTGCTATGCACCTGACCGTAGTGAGGCCCCGAGATGCTGAGTCCACAGCAAGAGATACAAGTACACATCGTGGTCAGCTGTGATGGCCACTCTCCTTGCAGACCTTGACAGGCCAGGGGAGGGCTCTGGCCACAGTGGACATAGAGGCTGTGCCACCCAGGCGCTCCTGCCAGCTCAGACCTGAAGCAGGGACCTGGGCCTGCTACTCACCAGCTCCACCAGTGCTGGCTGTGTGGCCTGGGGTGAGTCTGCTCCTTTCTCTGAGCCCTGCTTTCTCGCTGAAAAATGAGCCCCAGCAGGGCAACAGGCAAATCTGCACATGGAAGATGCTCAATAAGCAGCGTGGAAGAGTTTGAGCCCAGTGGGGTGAGTGCTCAGGAAAAGGCCTGTGGACAACTGGGGTTGGGACAGCCAGCCCCACCAGGGGCCGCAAGCAGGATCACGAGTGGGGACCGAAGAGCAGACACCTGCATGGCAGGACAGAGAAAGACTGCAGCCTCTGAGAGGAGGGCAAAGCGTAGGCACCCATGCAAAGCCAGCGCCAGGCCTCGGCCACGGAGAGCTCGGAAGGGACACATGGGAAACGGCTCTCAGCCCCCAAGAAGGCACGCAAGAGGAGGGCACGGCTGTGTGGTTCCAGCAGTAAGCAGTGTCCTGTGCCCTCCTCTCTTCCGGACAGCAGGAGCTGGAGGGTGGGCACAGGGCAGGGGCACCGAGGTGCCCAGGGAAGGCTCCTCGCATGCCCTGCTAGAGGCAGAAGAGACATGGACGAGGGCCCTGAGGTGGCGAGGGTGGGAGGCAGAGGCAAGCTGGTGCCCAGCTGGCTCTAAGGAAACCGTCAGAAAGGCAGGAAAGGTGGCCCAGTGGCAGGCAGCACACCCCTGGTTTCAATCCCCAGCACCGAAGAAGGAAAGCAGGCAGGCAGGCAGGCAGGCTAAGTAAACTGAATTCCTCCTCCACAACTGTCTGGGCAAAATCAGGCCTGTGTGGGGGCACACTGGACTTACTGTACGTTACCTGGGCTTTTCCAGCCCATTTAGGCTCCAGCTCTGTGGAACAAAACCTCAGGGGTCTGCTGGGGCTGGAACCCCTGCTCTCCCACACCATGGCCCCCTTCTACCAGGGAGTCACCCTGCTTTACTCCTTCCCTGGGCCTCTTTCCCCCCACAGCCTCTGAAAGGGTTGCCAGCGCCTCTGACTCAAGCTTCCGGGCACTGTGTTCTCCGCTGCGTCAGGGGCCCTTCAGGAGAAGAGCATGGTTTCTGCCAGAACACAGCAGAGCCCAGGGTGCAGGAGCAGGGGCTGCCCCAGGTATCTGCCAGAAATGGGCAGTGGGAATCCAGGGCAGAGCCATCAGGGAAGCCCAGAGAATCTACATTTTAGGGAGGGAGGGTCCTATCAGGGGGACAGGACACAACTATATGGCATGAACTAGAACATGGATACTGCCAAGTTCTATGTCATGGCTGGATGCAGGACTAGTGAGTGAACAGTTAGATAAATAAATGGGTGGGTAAGTGGATAGGTGGGTAGACGAGTGGGTGAACAGAATAACTGGGATGGATGGATGGATGGATGGATGGATGGATGCGTGGATGGATGGATGGATGGATGGATGGATGGATGGATGATGGATTGATTGATGGATGGAT